TGCCTTCAATAAACGAGACTTGATCAGAAAGCCTGTCTTGTCTCCATTTCCTGTGTCCCCTGCTCCCCTCCTTCTTTTACAGGTCCGGACCTCCGTTGATGTCCCGCGGGACGGGACAGTTTTACTTTGCATTTTTCTAGTCCTTAGGATTTAGAGCATTGGTGCCAAACTCAAATGAAATTGCATCCCTGGGGGCCACATATGGACCTATAAAACCATAAGTTAATATTATATTGTATTTTTATTTTTTAAGACATTTCTCAATTCCATTTTAATCTGGTTGAGGCCATACTTGGGAGTTTTTCAGTTGAGTTTGACACTTGATTTAGAGCATTTTTGTCAGATGGCCATTGGTAGCTTGGATTTCTTCCTTTGAAAACTATCTGTTCGTATCCTTTGATCATTTATCAATTGGGAAACAGCTCCTTATAAATCTGAATCAATTTCACATATGTATCTTAGAAATGAGAACTTTATCAGAGAAGCTTGCTGCGAGAACTTTTCCCCATTTATCTGTTTCTCTTCTGATTTCAGCTGCATTGGTTTTGTTTGTGTAGTCACTGTTATGATTGTTAATTATGTGTTTCCCTCCATCTTATATCCTCATACTTTTCCTTTTCTTCATTTCCTGCTCTCTCTTCATAAAGAAGGTGTGTTGAAAGGAAGGGAATTGCACCTACTATGTGTCAGGCACTACACTAAGTGCTTTTACAAATATCTCATTTGTACCTCATAACAATGCTGAGAAGTAGGTGTTATCATTAACAACATTTTACAGATAAGGAAAGTGAGGAAGACAGGTTAAATGTCTTGCCTGGAATCGCACAAGGCAGCTAGGTGGCACTATGAATAGAGTGCTGGGCCTAGAGTCAGGAGGATCTGAATTCAAATCCAGCCTCAGACATTTACTAGCTGTGTAAACCTGGGCAAGTCTCTTAACCCTATTTGTCTCGGTTTCCTCATCTGTAAAATGAATGGAGAACTAAGTGGCAAACTACTTCAGTATCCTTGCCAAGAAAACCCCAAATGGGTTCACAGGGAGTCAGATGTGACTGAAAATTACTGAGCGACAAGAGAGTCACACAGCTAGTAAGTGTCTGAAGCTAGATTTGAACTCAGGTCTTCCTGATTCTAGGCCCAGTGCTCTATCCACTCTGCCACCTAGCTATGGTAAAAAGGGAGTGTGCTCATCCTCGGTGCTCTAGGTTTGGTGCAATCTGTTTCTGGTCTTCTGCCTCACTTCTCTCCCTCACCCAGACCCCCATCACAGGTTCTTTTCCTTTTATTTTTCTTTTAAACCTCTCTTCGAGAGCCACCCTCCTTAGAATTTGTTTTGTTTAGGACTAATCCATCCTGTAATCTATCATCTCTTATTCCTATCTCTACCTTCTCCCATTTCTCTCGTTTTCCCTGTTAAGTAAAATCTATTTCTGTACCCAGTTATGTGTGTATTCTCCCATCCTTTGACCAGTTCAAAGAAGAGTGAGGTTCAAGCGTCAGCCATTGCCCTCGCCCCTTCTTTGTTTTATAGTTGTCTTACATACCCAGATTATATGAGTTCACTTTTTTCCATCTTTGCATCCCTTTCCCCCCCCAATGTATTCCTTTCCCCATCCTTTTCCATTCTTTCAAAAAGATAACCAAAACCAGAACAAAACGTCTCCTGGTCCTTCTGTCTTGTTAGTCTACCTGTATGACCCCTGATGACGATAGGGTTCTGAAGGGACACATGTATTAGAATGTACCCTCCAGACTTTCCCTACAACGGCATAGAAACCTTCACTCTTCACTTCGGAAGCTCCTTCCAACTCTGTACTTCACACTGGACGTACCCTCCTGCCCCTATGGCCTCTGCCCTGATTGGCTGATTCCTCCCATGGCCTCCATTTTACGCAAGATGCCCAGACCAGCCCTATTGTTCTTCCTGCACAGGTTCCCAGGCTTATTTGGCCTACGGCCCCTTTTTAAAAAGAATTACTCCACTCCCCTGGGGTTAGGTTAGGTTAACCCTTATTTTTATTCAACACCCCCCAATTGCACCCGAGGCTACTACTATCCCCCAGGATCATTGCAATGCCCCACTTTGGGAACTTTGCCACACTCCTGATTGTCTGGACTTTCACAACCCCGGGGGCTACATCTCTCGTCCCAAACCTCCACTACTTTTCAGTTTCCTTTGTGTTGTCTTTCCCCTATTAGAATGTAATCTTCTTGAGGGTAGGGATTGTCACTCTGCTGTTATTTGTATTCCCAACACTTAGCACAATTCCTGGCAATAGTAAGTGCTTAATAAATGCTT